TACTATATACTACCAAGATTTGCAGTCTTTCAATATTGTATGTTTTACTTTAAGTAGAATTGTGATTTACTATAAGTAGCAATTTATCTAATAATTTCGAATAATTTTAGGGATTGTCTGCACACACAAAGCACACCATTTGAGCTCTTGCCAACTCAAAAAAAAAAAAAAAAACTGGCATCTTTTTCTGAAAATTACATGTTTTCCTATTTCTGGATGTAATTTTATCTTGCCATATGTAGTATGTTTAAACCATCTGAAATTATTAAAACTCCATTTCAGCAGCTAATTTTGAATAGGTGCAGCATATATCGGCAAATTTTAAGTAATTGTCTTTTTAGATTGATTTTATATATATATATATATTTTATTTTATTTTTTTTTGCCACTGTGCAACGTCAATGCCATCTCTTGAGGAATAGTAGACCCATTGGTTTGAATGGGAGTTGATGCTTTTCGATATTTCTTTTTAAACCAAAGGCTAATCAATGTTTGGTGTGATATTCAACATTTTTTACAAAACATCAATTTCATTATTTTTGATCTTTCATTCCACCGATCAGGCCAGACGTTGCATTAGTTCCCATTTAACCTGTCACGAGAGGACCCAAATTTGGGTCCTCTCGTGACAGGGGTGTCAAACTCCAGTCCTCAAGGGCCTCTGTCCTGCAACTTTTAGATGTGCCTCTGCTGCACCACACCTGAAAAGAATAATTAGGTCATTAGCAAGGCTCAGGAGAACCGATCTACACAGGGAGGAGGTAATTAAGCCATTTCATTCCACTGTTTTTTACCTGTGGCACATCTAAACACTGCAGGACAGCGGCCCTTGAGGACTGGAGTTTGACACCCCTGTCATTGTGAATGACAACCTGAGACCAACAGGTTAAAGCAGCGTCTACATCCTCCTCAAATGAGGTGTGGTTGATTGTTTGACAAGAAATTAATCTGTCTGTACAACTTCTCCTCCCCTAATCCTGTATTTGCTTATTAGTAAAAAAATAATAATAATTAAAATAAAAAATAAGAATTTAAAAAGACAATAATGGATTCAATTATATAACTAAAAGACAAAATGTATGACAAAATTAGATATTAACCAGAGTATTTACCTGGAAACAAAGGCATTTTAATCAAACAGACAAAGCTTTTTGTTTCTGTTTTCAAAGTTGCCAGTACTGGTAGTGTCTTGAGTAACTGATCTGCATGCTTTCAACCACAGAAAAGGTAAAGATGGAAAAACAAAAGCACTTTTACATTTGATGACGGAAAACAGGATCTTCTAAATGCTGTCGCAACAACTTCCAGGAGGTGTTTTGTGAAGCACAGCACCTGCCCCCCTCGTGACTGAACCCTATCGTGTTTCTAATGAAGTCTTCTAATGTACCGAGTGCAGTTTGACCGGTTCAACACGTGCGTGTACTGTGTTGGGATCTGATCATGGGCCGATTTTACATGTGCAGACTTGTTCGGGATTTACGGAAAATGCATCACGTCAATGTGTGCGCATTGCATAGAAATATGCACACAGAGGAAACCCTGAGTAGAAACTCGTTGAGGTTTTGTGTTTTTTTTTTTTTTTGTCTTTTTGTATGCGTGTGTACTGATATTCCGTCTTTCTGATTCGGTTCATGAAGTTTACCAGTTAGCCCTGCGGACCACATAAGTCAGCTAAAAGTCTACACAGATCAGACCAGCTCTAAACACATCTCCATCTTTCCAACTTTCTCGTTCTCGCACACACACACACACGCATGCATCCTGTACTTACTGAAGGGAGTAGTGAAAAGCATCAGATGGGGCCCTGTTGCTGCGACACCTTCACACACACTTTTTCAATCTAACCCATCTCTGAATGCACACCATTTGCCTGTGCCCTTGTATCTCTGTAAGAGCTATCAAGGCCCTGTGTTTCCTGTTTTGCAATCCTCCCCATGGCCTTACCGCAGCCTCCCAGACAACGCCTGGCCCTGGCTGATTCAGGAACAGCTTGTTTTTTGCCCCCCTTAAAGAGGGCACTCAGCCCTGAGGCGTATTTATTCATGCTTTGCTTACACTAACTGCTTTATTGTTATTTGTTTGATGAAGAACATGATCTTCCCAAACATAATTAGCTTCACCTAACGGTGGACAAAAACCCACAAAGAAACACACGAGAGAAAGCTGATGTCATAAACACTCATAATTACAGATGAACGGTGTGTGTACTTTGTCTCATTCTGCTTTGTTCAAGGAGAAAAGGTGAACTCAAAACTAAATGGCTGAGATCAGAAAGGTTGGACCAGCAATAGAAGAATTAAAAACTAACAGAATTGTTGGTACTTCAGACAGACTTTGCCAAAAAGCAACAACCTACAACGTACTGTCTGTCTCTGACAGAATATGTCAAAAACAGCTTATAACCTAATAAATGTTAATACTGTCTGAAATATGTATTTTTTAAGGTATTAAACACTCACTGTTCTGACAATTGAAGATATATACTATCTGCATAAGGCCTTTTTGTTTTGCTGTTCTAAAATGCTAGCAAGATATCAGGTAAAGCTAGCTGGCTAAGCTAACAAATTCTATATGACATTTTAAAAAAAAAAAAAAGCATTTTCAAATGACTACAGTTTTTGCTTTCTCTCTCCCTCTTTCTCTCTCTATGTTTGTTCAAAACATTCATTTCTGAATGTTTTGAACATGTGCTAATTATTTCTTTTTGCCCAGGCAGTGTATGTAAACATTTTACAAGAGTTTAAATCAATAACGAAGGCGCCTACATATTCTCAGGATTTCATTAAGACTTTTTTTTTTTTTAAATACCTTAAGCAGTAAAATTTAAGGTTTACATAAATTATAAAAAAAATCTGACGAAAGTTAATCTTGCTCACTGGAGTTTGGGAGTAGACAGGATGGAGGAATCTGCAGTCGGTGACCGACACCAACCCCATTTGCTGACTTGCAACAAATGTTGGTTGAGGAATGGTTTTCACCAGACAGACTGCTGTGGTTTTTGTACAGTAAATGTTTATTTTTTTTCATGGAAGAAACCCATATACACTTAGATTTCACTGATCAACACAATTTAATGCAAATAAAATGGTGAGGATGGTGAACATGTTTTTAATCACTGAATTTATTTGAGCAGGTTACAGTGTATGAAGAGCAGCACATAGTTCAGTCCTGTGGAGGACATCCCCCAACACATGCCTTACCCACATTGCTCTAACAAATGCTATGATGTTTTTTTTTAAGCCACACCCCTTTGGTGCCGCAATCCCAGCAGCATGCTCTAAAAGAGCACAAGGTCTTATGTGAAACATCATTTGCCTTCCCACAGATTTGCCAGAATCACCAGGGATGTTGGATCTTCCTCCTTTTCTCTGAGGCCACAGTGGAAGAATCTTTTCAGTCTCAGTCCTTTGCCAGTTACGAGCCAATTATTACATAAGCTGAACAATTGTGGCGTAGGTTGGCTGTCCTAAACATGGAAGAGAGAAATACTTGTTAGAATGCAAAACTAGCAAGCATCGAGTAAAGCGCCAGTAGGAAACTGTTGAGTCACAAACATAGAAGGTGGCTGTGAGTTAGGATAGCAAGGTGAAGTGTGGAAAAAAATTAGGAGAATGAGAATGTGCAGCCAATAAAATATCTGAAGGGAAGGACAGGGCCTGCCTTCATTTTAGCCGTCTCATTGGTCTTGACAGGCATGTGGTAATGTTTTTAAGTTGGTGTTGTTGGGCCCAATCTCCATACTCTACCATATGTATTGCACTGAGTCTACAAATCAAAAAGGAATTTATTTCAGCAATTCTCTATATACATTTTTATCATGTTTCAAAGCCTAAAACTGAGATGATTAAATGTAAAACTTAAGAATGGTTTGTACTATTTTCTGAGGTGTCCAACATCTAGAATATATCTTGGGTTTGGAAAACAGTCCTCCCTGTTTTTGGACCATCTTCATAATGTGTAGTTTCCCATTGGGTCACAGTGGCTCCTGTTTTCCCTAGTTGTGTCGAGATGCAGGGCATTTTGACACAACTACTAGACGTCTTTCAAACTCACAAAGTGACTCCTGTCAAACTCTCTAGTGCTGAGGGTGTAATCTAATGCATCTAGGAAGAATCCTCTCAATCTGATTATACCGTCACTCGCTGATTTGACTGGTCATTGAAAGCTTCTCAACTCATGCCCTCTGGTGACCATACCAGACCTGTCAGCTCTTTGCAAATCTAACAATTTGCATATCCACCACTGAACTGCATGTTAGAACCACTTCTTCTGAGTGTTAATTTTTTTTTTTTTTTTTTTTTTTGACTGTTTTCAGTTTTCTAGCTTATCCTTTTTCCTGTTCTGGGTCATGTTGGTCCCCTGCATGCAAAACTTTTAAGAGAGTTTTTGTAATTGGATGTTGGGTCTGGTTACCTTTTTTACTTTGCAGGTGTGAAGCATTGTGTGACATTGCATGACAGTGGGTTATCAACCTGGACGCACCTGTACATGTGTGAGTGAGTGTGTATGTGTTTGCATATGAAAAACTCCTCGCCCTCCAATTATCTGTCCACAGGGCTGTGCACCTGCACTTTACAACTTATCTGGCCAACGTGCCAGATAATGACACTTAAGACAATGTAGGTGAAATACCAACACGTCACACCAATCTTACAAGCAACAGTGCTTGTTGTGTTTTTTTTTTGTTTTTTTTTATTGCGGCAATACATTGGATTGCAGTAAATGCCATACTGACATCATCAAATGCTTGTGAAGTGCTTTACCTGCAGGCAGGTGTGCTCTTGATTGCATACATGAGTGTGTGAGAGGGAGTCTGACACAGAGAGATTCTGGGTTCATTTACATGTTTGACAAAAAAAGAAAACAATGACAGAAACTATTTGTGCAACCAGAAAACAAGCATGGGATTCCCACTATAACAAACGTATTCAGTAAAGTTTCCCACTAATTATTCTGGTTGCTCTATTATGTAACGGCAGGGTCATGCCAGTTTTGGGTCCCAAGGCTTGGTCTTGGTTTATTTTGAGGATATGTTTAATTGGAGTCAAATGTGATCAAAAGGACCACATTCTAACTGAGTGGCCCAGCAATGGCGAATGGAGAAGAATTGCTGCGATGACGTGATTAAAGGGCAGGAGGTTCTTAAAGAGACGGAGGCCAATTTCAAGGCGTGCATAGCTATGATGCAAAGTCAAATTTTTGTGAAGTTATTTTTGATCTATACATCAGTTTCTAAACAACTGAAGGTAATATAGTTGCTTAATTGAACAATAAAATTGTATTACGTGCTAAAAAAATACATAACAGCAGACCTTTAAAAATAGGAAGCAAGTGTTTACTGCAGCAATAGAAAACCCAATTGAAGCAGTACTAACAGAACTTAACATTAAAACCTTTTAATCCCCTGCAAGTTGTGCTGCTCTGCTCACACATAATAAATAAATAAATCTCTAGTTCTTTTTTTCAGGTTTGTTTTTAGCTAAAACAATAAGTAATCTTCCCTGTAGCAAATCCCAGTGGCCCTTCCCCCAGCCCCCAGTTGTATTCTGTTTTATGTGAAATTAAAGATTTGTATTGACTGGTTTTCCTTAAATTGTAATACAAGTTAGGTTAAAATCAAATTTGCAAACTGAAGTTTTTACTAACCAATACCATTTCATGTTTTCTTCGAGATATTGCCTGCATATTCTAATCCTTTTTTTGTTGTTTGTTTGTTTACAAGACAAGCAAATTTTGCTGAAAAATTTCTACTTCAAAAATACAGTCATGATGGTGTTGTAACTAAGAGCACCCATCACTTTTTTTTTTTTTTTTTTTTTTAAAGTTAACCTGCTTTGAAATTTCTGTTGGTAAGCTATGAACTGAATGTCTGTTGAGCAGCCAACTCCAGACTGGCGAGCTGCAGATAGCCTGGCCAGCTAATGTCAGCTGGCAAGACTCCAGTTACTGCTGAATAGTAAAAAGGTGCAAGTTTAAGTGAAATCTACAACTGAATTTTTGAGGGGTTGCAAAACCTTTCCTGAAGTTTTTGTAACAGCAAATGGGAGATGTTCTGAAACTTAATTGTTGCTTTTCTGTCCATGTAAGAGATTAATTTGACCACAAACGCCACAAAACTGTAACATTTTTACTCAGTCAAAACACCATAAGAAGCTTCTAAAGGACTGAGTTTATGAGCATCTGGTAGCAAGTCAAAATACTTTAAGTACTTTATTAACAGACTTGTTTTGCTAGCTTATTGTTGCATTTAGTCTTATTACTGCGATCTCAGAAATTCATCCCACCAGGGTTGGGCAAAACTTGGATTGGAAAAACTTGGATTTGTTATCTTTTTAGCTAACACAACATGTTAGCTTGGTTGCTAACCAAATGTATAAATCACCCTTACACCTGCAACCTTCACTGCTTATGAATTGTGGCAGCCATATCAGATATTCAACTTGGAGCAGCTCAGAGACGACTTGCTAAGTTGAAATTTCCGCTATTTTGACTGAAAGCCATCAGATCATAAATAAATCTTCAGTTTGACTCTCCACCATTGCCAAGCTTTGCATCCATGACTAGGTTGAGTTTCAGTGCCTCTTTTCCCAGCTGATCTGTGCAGATAATGTAATAAATGGGAGTCTTCGTGTACTGTGTGTACTTGGACATTTCATAAACGCTGTTCCCTCATTCAGTGATGCAATCTCAGGAAGATTCGGCCGAGACGAGTTGACCCGTCCTCACCAGCGTGAGGATCTCTTTAAATGCGACTGTGTGCAGTTCCGACTTGTGTCGTGTTGCTGAAAACGATACTCTGATGTCACCAAAGCTGGACTCGTCACAGAAAAGCCCGGGGGCAGTCACTCATGACGTCACTGTAGATTTCAATGGCTTTTTTTTATTATTATTTTTGTTATATTAGAAGTTGCATGTTGGTAATAGATTTCGGACACCATCTTAATGCCGGAGCGTCATCAGATGTGCTATGCAGAGAGCCGAGGCAGTCGTGCTGTGCAGCGGTAGATTTGTTGTTGTACGTAGGTGATCCCTCATATCAGTCTCAGTGCACAGCTGTCACTCCCTGCACTTCTGCTGTTGTTGTTGTCTTTTACAAGGTACTTTCCCTCACACACACTTCCTCCCACAGGACCCTTTGTTTTTGTCAGGGTGTGTGTGTGTGTGTGTGTGTGTCTAATGCATTTAGCATATGCATTTGATGTGGGCAAATTCTCAGAATGCGATTTTAATCGAATGTACTGTCACTTTTGTGCGAAAGGTATACATACAGCCACAGGAATATGTGAGGAGACATTTTTTTTTTTTATCGTTCTTCAAACATTACGACGACTTTTGGGTGCTCGGTTCCACTCGCAGATGTGAGCAATCGCAGGGTTCCTCGGATTTTTTTTATTTTATAAGTCATTTTGCATTCATCTGTGTAGTGACGAGATGACTGTGTCACGTTAAGGTTTTTTGCATAACCCACGCTTCTCTTTTCCTCTTGCATTCAGTCACCGCTGCTGTAATGTCCACTGCAGGCGACCGTGTACGTCTGTCGTACCCCTCAAAGTCAATTTAGGATTAGTGCAGACAGGAAAAGCACAGGTATCGTTGACGTGTGTGAAAGTGAGGATAGCTGGTTTCAGCAACGCCAGGAAAATGTGCTTACCTCAGTCGAGCTGTGCTTCAGGCGTGTTTGGTGCGAGTGTCCGCTCAGAGAAGCCGGGCATGAAGCTTGGTAAGCGCTGTGAGTGTGGCTTTTTTTTTTTTTTTGCAGGGTTGTTTCTCACCTTCTTAGTTTTAGTGCATCACCCTAGATGAAAGGCAAGCGTAGGTCTCATCTGTCTCTTTGCTTGTGTGAAAGTACGCATGCAGGAAGTTGGTGTGAATTGGTGTCCCCTTCTAATGTGTGCGTCCACTTCTGTGTGGGAACAATAACACGCATGCGCTGCCTGGACAAGAATGCCTGCTGCGTATTTGGACATCATCTTGCGGAACTTGTCTAGATTCTGTTCCGTTCACAAAAGTCTTCCTTGAGGAACATCGTCCATGTCTGGCCTTTCACCTGCGAGTTTTTTTTTTTTCTTCTTCTTCTTTTTATTGGATTAATCATCCCTAAGTAGTAGGAATAAGACTCTGGGAGGAATCGGGAATCCCCAGCTAACGGCTTCCTTGATAAAAGTAAGGTAGAGAGCTGCACCCAGCAGATGGTGTGTGGTGAGTGGATAAGGGCTGAACATGGCAGATGTTACACTCGGCTGAATAATAGAGGCTTGAAACACTCATTGGAAAGGCATAACTTCTTTGTTAAATTCTGGACATGAATTAAACATTTAAAACTGTGTAAGCAGACAAAACGATACTGGAATCTTCCATAGTTTCGCTGCTGTTTACGCAACAACAAATCTTTTTTTTTTTTTTTTAGTGTCATGTTGACTGTAAACATTGTTTTTGTTTTTTGTGGAAACCCGATTAAATTGAAATGTTTGGGTTATTTACGGATAATTACCTGCAGTGTTCAAAAATAAAATAAGTTTGTCATTATTTTTATTTGCATCTGATTCATTTTTTTTCATACATTTGAACAAAGTCTACACATCCATCTGTTTTTTTTTCTTCCCCACCTCCACTTCTCAACTCAGAAATCCCACAACTTCTTATCTCTCTCTCTGCACGCCTGTGCTCCGACCACCCTGACTCCTGCCCCCCAACCCCATCAGACACACAAACACACACACATCCTCACACACACCTCAGCCTCCCCACGCCCCTCCCAGAAGACACACTTCCCCCCACCATTCTGCTGATGGGCTCAGGCGCCTCTGCTTGGTCACACAGCCCCAGTGTAGCATCCAGTTAGCTACACTATGTGAAGCCCTGTGGTTTTTGTCTTTTAACATGGATGTGCATGTGAGTGTTAGCCAAATTTGAAAGGTGTGTGTGTGCGTTTGTTTGTAATACCTTGTGGGGACGATTTTCCTGATATATACTACGTTGTGGGGACCAGTTGCTCCTCGTGGGGACCGGAGCCTGGTCCCCACAAGGGGAAACCCTGTTTTTGGGTCAGGGGTCAGAGTTAGGGCTAAGGTATGAATTGAGTTTTGGTTAGGGGTAGGGTTAGGTATGTGATGGGTAGGGTTAGGAAAAGGGTAAAGGTAAGGTTTAGGCTGTAGAAATGAATGGAAGTCAATGGAAAGTCCCCACAAAGACAGCAACACAAACGTGTGTGTGTGTGTGACACCCCTCGTTTTGTTCTGTGGTTGAAGAATAAATATTTCAACTCTGTCACGCTTTTTCTTTCTATACAAGCCATCACCTTTTTAGATTTTTTTTTCTTTTCATTTTGTCACGTTACCTTATTATTTGGATTTAATGCGACATGTCAAAAGGTGTTGCCGTATAACTTTGAAGTGGAAGTTACATTAGAAGTTTACAATTTTGATGAAAATTGTTCTGTTTGCATTTATTCCTCTTTCATTTGATGCCTCTGAATGAAAAGCTTCACAATCAAATCATGTAATTGGAAGGAGGATATTTTCTGTCTGTAATGTAATTTTTTTCAATAAAACTGAGCAGTGTTTGCACATGTAAAAGTTCTAAAAATGCTTTTTTTTTCTATACAACATCACCATAGAATTTCCACAACAAATAGGCACTCGGATTACGTTCTAAACGGTATGTCTTGATGTTCGATTCCAATCTTTTGCTGAAATTTCTTTCTTTCTTTTTTTTTGTAATCATTCATGCAACAAATGAAATGTGACTGCAAACTGACTTTTCTGTCAATGATTTACAACTTCAATACAACCCACATGCGCAAAAGAGGAGCGTTGACATCACACAACAATGCACTGTTTACGGTAGAGAAGGCTGTTTTTGGATGTGTAGAGAAACCCAGGAGTGGTGGGATGGTGAGGTGATGCGTTTCAGTCACAGTTTTCTTTCGTAAATTCAGAATTACAATTTTCAGCAATCGCTTGCGTCCGGATTTACTCCGTCTGGCTTCTGCTGGTGCAGCAATGTGATGAATGTCTCGCAACAATGACATGAAAGTTGGTTAAAGCATCCTGCTTTTCATTCAGAGGCATCCTGCTTTAACCAACTGCAAAGTGTCTGCAGTTCAAACTGCAGACACTTTGAAAACTATCCATTGCCTTCCTGTGCAATTCCGCTCGAATAAAATCTCACTCATGCCACAGTCTGGGTTTTTCTACTTCCCTTTAATTCACTCAGATTTTCTACCAGGCTAATCACTGAACGGAAGGAGAAGTTGTGAACAATGATGTTTTTTTTGTTGTTGTTTTTTTCTGTGCTATGTTACAATTGTCTGTGTAGTTTTAGCAATGGCAGCAGAAGAATTGAACGAAGTTGTTCAGCCCACATTCGCTATACTTCCAAACGCAGAATTAACATTAACAGCGGCCTGGTTTGGATTGGCACTCCTCTCCATTGCGTAGGCAATTTCCGTTGAGCTTTATAACGTCAAACTGTCGCACTACATGCGTCACGGGCAACCGTCGGCAAATGTGTAGTATTTAAAACCTCAGCACAGACCACACCACGCCTCCAGAAAGTAATCGATATATTGTTTCTCAATCACTAAGAGTCCAGACCCTCTGTATGGAGCAATAGTGTAGGGCGAAAGGGTGGTTTTTACCAGGCTAAGAAGTAGCACAAATCTGATTATTTATTTTTTAATTATTATTGGGTGAAAAGATCGGAAATGGGGCCATTCTGATTGTTGTGAAAAAGTCGGATATGTGTCGCTTGTGAGCTAAAGCAACTGGATTTGGGTCACATTTGCTTTCTGCATCAACATAGCCAAATCGTACAATGTGGCTATGTATTGTATATACAGTCTTTTCTTCAGTTTCCACAAACATGGAATGTTCCAACTTGGAAAATGTATTCATTTCCGTTTTGGCAAATTTTGATGCGTGGCTTTAGAAAAGTAGCCAATGGGGAAATGGGTACTCTATGGGAGCAGCAGAGATCCACAACTCAGGTGTGACTCAGTCTGTCTGACTTTAGAGAAGGCTGGAAAGAAGAAAGACATGAATGAAAGATCGTAATGAGCAATTTAGGTTAAAGTTGAACGCATCCACGTCATACACACAAACTTATGTATTCATTGCTATAACATAAATAAAATGTGGGAAAAATTCAAGTAAATTGCTCTTACGACACAGTCCTGCAGACGGGAAGCTGTTAACCGCTCCACATTATTGTTTACGCTCCAATTTGGAGTTTAACTTTGTCATTTGATGAAACTTTGATGTCTGTTCATTGATGTTGCTGATTATCCATTTCCCTAGGAAAGGTGAATGCTTAGAATGAGGGTGCACTGTACTAGATAGTGAAAAGGACAGGAAGTGGGGAGAGTGATGTGCAGTAAAAGGTCCTTTCTGTGTGCTATGCGTTGAAGCAGGGTCTCTCTTACAAAAGGGCTTGGGGGTTTACCCATTTTAGTGGCAACCTAATCAATCCACCAGAAGGGAGCTGTCCTGAAAATTTGAACAATAAAATTTGCCATGTTGAGATCATTGATATAATCGTCTACTGCATATAAGATATTGACACAGAATATTGTTGTACATGAAACCATCATGCAGCTAATGAAATCTATGAGTTTGCATCCGAATGTTTGGTAAACAAAAAAACATAACTGTATTTATTTATTTTATTTTTTTTAAACTGAAATCGTATTGCATAATGATTTTAATATTGACCAAAGTAAAAGTAGTATTGTTTTCCATCATTAAGCAACCGTAATGTGCCAGTGGAGTACATTTATAATGTTGAAAAAAAAAAAAAATCATTTTTTACATTTGTAATAAAGTGGCAAATGTAATTGGCTAAAAAAACAAAAAAATACTTTACCCACTTAGCTATTAAGCGTAGATAAATAGATTTTACTTCATGCTAAAAAAATGTGCTGGGAGATAAAGGATCTCCACCTCTGATGTTGGTCCTTGTTTAAGACCTGTAGTCACAGATAAGGGCCCTGAATCACACCTTTCTCATCTCTCTGATGTCTGTTGCTCTTATCTTTAGGTGACAGGTGCCTCAAAACCTACTGGCTGCATTGCTGACTTAATTTTGTATTACACATAGCAAACCTACGCATACAATTATTTGCTTACATCTTCCCGTCATAGATAAAAAGGGGGAAAAAATCATTGCTGCCAGTTGAGACATATGGATAAACCACGCAGGAAGTAAGGCTTGAGATGTTGTAATGTTGACAACCATCTGTTGCTAGATGGTAATTCCTTTGGATCGGAGACCATTTTTATTTTTATTTTATTTATTTATTTTTTACCTTTTTAATTGCATTTTTGTCCAGTAGTTTTTGTCGGATGGGTTTTTGACACCTAAGCTCTTTTATTACTTAAGACCAGCACATTTCGCTGGTAGCTCTCAGTCTTTCTCATCTTTTGTTTGCAAATATACCTTGTCCGTCACAGTGACTGTTGAGCCTACAGGCCGTTTACAACTTTTTAACTCTTGAGATGCAAAGGCAGCACTATCGGCACGTTTGTACACACTCTGAACACATTCTCACATTCACAGACTACACACGAGCCATGCACACTCATGCGCTGGGTTTTTGAATGTACTTTGTCAGCATTTTCTTGCCTTCCTGTCAGCTTCCACAGAAGAAATGAGAGGAAGAAAGTAAATTATATCAGCATTCATTGTAAGAATTCATGTTTGGCATGTACTATTACCTAACACAGAGCCTCATAATACAAGGAAATCTGCAGTACTTTAAAAGAAATCCAGATCACATCCTGGCAGAGCACATGAAATTGCTACATGTTACTGTTAGAACTAAATTCAAGATGATTCAAGTGATGAACGGATTGCGCAAGACTTTTACTCAGCTTCACCCTGCGTGTTGACCTCTGCACATATAGGGGCTGCTGCATATGCACATTGCCTTACTTGTAACAAGAACTCTAGGGCAGTCTTGCCCATAGTAGTATTGGAACACGTTAAATTATTGTTAAATCTATGTCAATTTTAGTTTGAAGCGAGAGGCAATTGGAAAAAATATCCACAGACTTTGATTTCTATCCCTGAGTTGTTTAGAATCAGCTGATTGCCAATACTGATTCAAGCATTAGAGTTAAGAAAATAAATACCATTCCTGAGAAAAATCTTATTTTTGCCTTTCTTTTTGGTTACGGTTTTGGGTTAATCGAACAAAAATACTAAAGACTTATTCAACTTTTTCAGATCATGATTTTATTTATTATTGCAAAAACAATTGCCTCGCCCTATATGAAGTATGTCAATAGCAAGAGTGAAGCATTGTGGTGATGGTGTGGTGACCTGGAGTTCTGCCTTAATGTGTGGGACCCAGAGTTTTCTGCAGCAGAGCATTCTGAATGTCCAGCCATCAGTCTGTGAACTTAAGCTCCGATGCTCTTGGAATTGCATTTTTTCATTATAACAAACTTTCTATGACTTTAATATTTTTCCCCCCTTTAACACTGGTCTCAAAAGTGCTATATAACGTGTCCTTTTTCAGAAGCCGTCAA